CCTAAACCCACTCTGGGGATCCAACTGACTGAAACATCCACCCCAGCCACCAGACCTGCCCCCACCATAGGTTCTACAAGCTCAAGCCACTGTGCTAGCACCCATACTCCTGCAGCCAGTTCAGGCTTCAGTGTTTGTGTCACAAGGTCTGACCTCCTGTTTTTTATTTGTACTGAGGAGACAATAAAAGTTTGTAGCGTCTCACTGTAAAAAATCATCCCTAGCTTCTGGAAGAACATGGTGGATAGACAGCAGCAACTATGGAGGCTCTCTGAGATACCCCCCTGCTGCGGTATGAGGAGTCCTAAGCAAGGGGAAATACACCCTGCCGACCCAGGAATGAACTAAGCTAAGAGAAACCAACTGGAAATCCAATCCTGGTGCTATAACAAGAACAGATAAAATCTCAGCGCAGGAAGCTAGAACCCGCATCACTGGAAGCCGCAATTTGAATTTCCTGCTGCCGCTGCTGTGTCCAAATCTACAGGGCAGAGAGAGAGACATGCGAAAGCTCTGAGAGTGGGAATCTGCAAACAGAGTTGAGAGCGGGACTAGCAGGGAGCTCTACATTGACTTGTGGTGAGTGAGCAAAAAGGGAACCCTTTCATAGAGTAGGAGGCTGCAGCAAAGGACATACTGGGACCGGGCAGACTTGCCAGAACAGGGTGCTGCAGTGACTTCAGTCATATATTCCCCTCTCAAGTGGGATTGGTGGGGAGTGCCTGGGCTGCATGATGCCGCTAAGACCCAGTAGGCTAGCCCAAACCAGGTCCCAGCTCTGGAGGTGCACCCTAGTGGTGAAGCCTTTGGTAGGTTAACCTGGAGGGGCGGGCCCAGCAGAGGCTGCCCAGGTCTCCCTAGTACACTGCAGTGGGCGGGAACACCTAGCCGGCGCAATTCAAACAAACTGTAACCGAAAAAGAGAAAAAAAAAAAATTGGGCCTCCTACATTCGCTTGTATGAAAGGAACAAAAAGTATGGGAAGAAGAAGCAACAAGAAAGGGTCCTCAATCCCCAATCCTGAGAACACTGATTCAGGAAAGGGAAACGCAAAGGAAGACAGAAAACTTGCAATATCAGACACGACACCAATAGACATAAAGCGGTATCTCCAGAGCCTCATAGACGAGTTTAAAAATGAAGTGTTTAACGAAATAAAGCAAGATATAAGTAGAATAGTTAGAGAAATGCTAAGCACCGCCCAAGAAAAAACAGATGGTGGTATGGAAGAACAGAAAAAAAAAGGGGACAATTGTTTGATGGAGAAAATAGAGAAAACATAGAATACGTGAAGCAGGTTCAAAGAGATTACCAGGAAACTAAAAACTCTATTGAAAGTTGGCATAACAGCTTGAAAGAAACTAAGGATAGATTATCTGAATTGGAGGGCAGACTTGTAATATGGGAGCATGAAATGAAAAAACTTCTTAAAAATAACAAGAAAACAAACAGCAATAATACAAAGGCTAGAAGATGATAAGAGGATCTATAACCTAAGAATTAAGAACATAAAAGAAGAAGTAGGGAACAAACAAATGAACTACAAAAGCTATTCACAGAAATAATCCAGGAGAATTTCCCTAATTTAGCAAAAGGTAAAGATACTCAGATGTATTAGGCATACAGGACCCCAGCCACCTACAACCCAAACAGAGCTACACCCAGGCATATAATAATCAAAATTCCAGAAATCCAATATAAGAACAGAATACTAAAAGCTGTCAAAGACAAGAAACAGATCACTTACAAGGGAACACCCACCAGAATTACAGCAGACTTCTCGGCACAAACCATCAAATCACGAAGAGCATTGGGGGAAATAATTCAAGCTTTGAAAGATAACAACCTCCAGCCAAGATTGATATATCCTGCACAACTGTCCCTAGAAATTGATGGAAAAACAAGGTGCTTCCAGGATAAAGAGGAACTAAGGGGAATTTGCAACCACCAATTCAACTCTACAGAGAATACTGCAGGATATTCTAAAAAAGGAAAATACCAAGACTTCAGAAACAGTGGCAGAGAGATCACAATGAATGGAGCAGAAAGCGAAATGAAGAAGACAAACTGACAACAAATGACAGAAAAAGAGCTCAACAGAAATGAGGCAGAGAACATTGGATGGTAGGAACAGCTATTTTGGAGAAAACAAGACATCATAATAGCTAGTGCTGATTTAGTATCATCTTGCTTTGAAGTCCTATCAAGCTTTTATTCTTCTGTCTCCATCAGTCTTAACAGGTTGTATCTTATTGGATTTTATTATAATATAAGCAAAAACTTTTATAGACAAGGAGATTACACAGAAACCATTGTTCATTTTCTGATAGTTGGTTCTAAATACCCTGTAATACTGTCATTCTCTTGAGTGGTTTTACATTGTCTTGATATGTTTGGTGCTACAGTATACGAAGTTATACTCAAAGATTTCAAGGAAAGAGACATTATGGTAACTACTTTTATGTTGGGATGTCTTGTGGTAAAACACTATTTTGCTTAAATGGTTATGTTTTGACCTGTGCTGTTTTGTTGTTATGCCCTCTTTTATCTCAGTCTCTCTTTTTTTAATTATTTACTTTTTTATTTTTCTTTTTAATTAAGGTAAAAATAAAAAAATAGCAGGATACATTATAGTAATCCACTTTGATTTCCTATTAACTTGATTTGAAACCCTGTATAGCCCTCACCATCTTGCTTTGACTGATTTTCCTCTATTCTGCTTTGCTTGATAGTACCAAGTTTGAAAGTATAGGCAACAACTGGAAAGACACTAAGATTCATTATGACGCCCATTGCAGTTGACTATTATCTTCTTTTAAAGCTCTGTAATGCCTCCAATGTTTTGGTTTTATTCTTTACTGTTTTGTTCAATTTTATTATAACTGATGATATAGGCAATTCTTTTTAAGATAGCAAGAGGCAGTATGGTAAGCATTGCTGATCACCTAGTATTTTGTTTTTACATTATCTATTATGTTCATCCTTCTGATTTGACTGACTCTGTTCTGTTATGTCACATTTGGTTTTACTCTCTTCAAAAAAAAAGTAATAAGAACTGTGGGAGTAATAAAACCCAAAATGTGTAATTGTCATTGTACAAAAGAAAGGAAAAGAAAGTGCTCTAAAGGATATAACCGCACATATATTTAAGTGTATGAGATAGAAAACCGTATTATTGAGTTTTGTTGGATCATTGAACAAAACTGTTTCCAGTCTCACTATTTGAAAGTCCACTTTATATGCTTTAATTTTGTAACTTGAACAGCTATTTCTAAGACAACAATATTATTGTTATCTTAGAGTCTATTAACTAGTGATTTCTTATTGTTTATTTTTTCTGAAATTCTGTATAACTTGTACCCTATTTCTGTTTTTTTCTTTTTCTCCATAATAAAAAAAAATACATATAATAAAAATCATCCCTAGTTAAGTCCCACCCTCGATCACTGGCAGTGACAACAGGCCTGCATTTGTAGCAGAGGTAACTCAAAAACTGTATTAAATAAAACTGCATACAGCGTGTAACCAGTTAAAGGCCAGCTATTTCTGTAGACACACATATAATCTAGGTATATACTAACTACCTCTATAAATTTCAGAGATCCAGTCTTAGATCTGCTGAAAAATTCCCTAGACCAGACAGCTCACTCTGAAGGGATGACACACTCAAGGTCCTGCTCTGGTTACTCTGGATGGTGACCAGTCCACCCAAGGCTAAAGCCTGAGGATACAGTTCACAGGATTGCTCCTCTTGATTTTTGTGTCTTTTCAGGTTGCTTACATCCCCTCACCCCACCACTAGCTGTGTGTTTTTGCCTTAAACTCTATGGACGATTCTTGGTCCCCAAGAAAATAGAACAATTGGGCTGGGGATTTAGCTCAGCGGCATAAGCACCTGCCTTACAAGCAGGCGGTTGTGAGTTCGATCCCTGGTACCGATAAAAAGTTAAGAAAATAGAACAATCAATCAATCTTGACCAAGATTCGATGAGCATCCAAGGCACACTGGACACTCTCCTGGATCAGATTAACTCCCTCCCTACCTTGCCAGGGTAATGTTACTGCTTCAAGTTGGGTCTGTATTAAAGACTATCTGTATTATGCCCTGCAATGATCTTCCAGGGAAACTAAAAGGGAGAAAATGTAACAGAAAATACTGCCTCCCCCCCAGCCAGTATACTTGTTTCTTAGTTGCCCAGTTAATAGTTCCTGTTCCAGTTCTAGTAGCTCCTGTCTGTTAGAAACAGTTGGTCACTGTAATACACATTGTATAAACCAATCTCTGACTATCAAACCATTCTGCCTCTGTACTTCCTGCTTGCTTATCCCATATAAGTCCTAGACCACCAAGATCAGAGCCTAATATTCTGGAATGATCCTGATCAGTGCCCACTGATGTAAATATATCTGCCTCCAAATCCTCGGTGTCATTTCAGTGTTCTTGCTTGCTGTTGCACTGTTAGCCTCCTGTGTGCTGAGATCACAGGTGTGTGCCATCACACCTGTCAAAATTTGTTAAAGTTTTTGAGACAAGACTTCTCTAAATCACTAAATTGCCTAGGCTAAGCTCAAACTTGTGATTCTTCTGTATCAGTCTCTCAGAGTTCTGGGACTACAGGCATGTGTCACCACCCCCTGCTTGGTCAGCATAAATTTGCTCGGTTACTGCCAATGTCTGGTCACTGGCCTTCCTCTCTGCCTCCAGCTAGACTGATCTTATCAAAGGCTGTGCTCAGAATCCCTCCAATACTCCCTATTCACTCAGCCAACTGATCAGCAAGTTATTTATGAAGGACCTGCTCTTTACCAAGCCCCGGCTAGGCACAGGGATCTAGCAGTGAACCAGAGACCTATCTCTGCCCTGTTGGGCAGATGGATAAACAAACAGTTACCATTCTGTCTATAGCAGGTGGGTGTCCAGAGCCTAGGCCAGATTTGGTCATCGAGAAAGATTCATGGGAAAGCTCAAGTTCAACACCAACCCGGGCAACTTACTGAGACCCTGTTTCAAAATTTTATTTTTAAAACATTTTAAAAATTTTTTGTTTTTTGAGACAGAATCTTACTATGTAGCTCAGACTGGGCTCAAACTCATGGGAAACCTGTCTGAGCCTCCCCTGGGCTGGAAATCCGGACATTTGCCCTACACCAACTAAAGATAAAATTTTTAAAGGCTACGATGTAGCTCAGTGATAAAGCACTGTTCCAGCATCCACAAGGCCTAGGTTCATCCCTCGTACTGCCAAATAAATAAAATACAGAGAAAAAAGAGTTGGTGGGGGAGGGGCTAGGCTATTGTGTATAAGGCCTTGGATTCCATCCTTAGCATTCGACCTTCTTCCCCTCACAGGAAAAGCTCCTGGAAGAGCTGCTATCCAGTCCGAGTCCCACAAAACACACGAAAGGAGTTAGCCAGGCAAAGCAGTGGGTAAGGATAAAATCCAGAGCCCTACAAGTCCTGATGAGCTCCACTGGCTGTCATATCTGAGATGGTTGTCACCTGCACAAAGGGCTCAGGGTCACTGCAGCTCCACAAGGGCTGCTTCCTTTAACCTGCCCTCCAGACCCAGTTCAGTTGATTGTGGTTCTGGATTCCACATTTTAGTGTGATGGATGGGTGAATGCTCCACATTTGAGCATGCGTGTCCTCCCTGGAGTCGGATGCTCACCCCTTCTTTTCTGACAGGAATCTGGAACCAGCAGACACTGCCTCATTCATCCTGGTGCCCTGGCACCCAGCTCAGTCGGCATACTGCAGCTGTCTCATAAATACACAGAACGGGGGTAGAACTCTTGCTTTGCAGTCACAAGTTTGATCCTTAGCACCTAAAAAAAAAAGAAGACATTAGCAAGTTGTCTAACTGTAGGTGAGATTAGGTGGTTCTTCTTCTTCTTCTTCTTCTTCTTCTTCTTCTTCTTCTTCTTCTTCTTCTTCTTCTTCCACTTTCTTCTTCTTTTTAAAGACAAGGTTTTTCAACAGCAAGCAGAAAGACTGAATTAACACCCATGATTTGGAGGCAGATTTATTTAGATCGATGAGCACAGACAGGGATCAATCCAGAGTATCAGGCCCTGATCTCAGGTGGTCTAGAGCTTATATGGGATAAGCAGGCAGGAAGTGCAGCGGCAGAATGGTTTGATAGTCGGGGATTGGTTTATACAATGTGTATCACAGTGACCAGCCATTTCTAAGAGGCAGGAGCTACTAGAACTGGAACAGAAACTATTAACTGGGTAACTAAGAAACTCAAGTATCCTGGCTGGTGGTGGGAGAGGGGTACATTTTCTGCTATAGTCTCACTATATAGTTCGTGCTGGCCTTGGATTCACTTTGTGAGTGAGTGCTGGAATTACAGGTGTATGCCACCATGCCTGGACTTGCTTGTTTATTCTTTCTTTCTTTCTTTTTCTCTTGAGTACTGGTTGGGGCTTGAACCCAAGGTGTTCATATTGAGTTACATCCTCGGTGCTTTTTTTCTTTGCTACCTGAAATCGAACTCACAACCTCACCTTTGCCAGGTAGGCGCTACGCCGCCGAGCTATATCCCTGACCCTCCTCAGTGCTCTTCAGTTTTTCGTTTTAAGACAAGGACTAGCTAAATTGCTAAACCGCCTATGCTGGGCTGGAACCTGTGATTTCCCCTGCCTCAGCCTCTCAGAGTGGAGATTGTACGTGTATGCCGTTCGGCTTGGTATCAGATTTTTAAAGGAGTTTTCAATTGGGTTAAAAAAAAATAAATCTAAGCCGTTTGGAAGGGCTGGGAGACTTGACTGACTTAGAACTTCTTAGTTCTTGCCCAAGTAGTGAGGATTCGCGGCTGTGGCCCTCCTACCTGGGCAGAGGGATGGGGCAGAATTCACCTTCCTTCTTTTATTCCCTCCACCTACCCCCCGCCGCCTAAGAACCTCAGCCTGCCCTTCCTAACAGAGGTTTCCAGCTGTTGATGCTTGGCTGGACCGGCTGCAGGGAGGGGGAGGAAACTCTCTGTCCCTCCCTCTCCGCTTCAGTCCCTCCCTCCTCCTCCCTCCTCCTCCCTCTCTCCTCCTCCTCCCGCTGCCGGGGCTCGGCCTCCCTCCCTTTCTCCTCCGAGGCTGTGGAGTCGTCTCGCAGCAGCTAGCAGCGAGCGCCCTGCTCCAGTCCCGGCTTGGAACTGAACTGTGCGAGCGCAGGTCCTGGAACCCGGGCCCAAGAGCGGCCCGCCGCGACTGAGGCCGGGCGCCGCGCACAGCCTCGGAGGCCTGGATCAGGACCGAGCGGAACGCGGAGCCGCGGAGCCGGCCGGCGGGGCAGGCGCAGCGTCCGAGCGAGTCCGGGCGCAGGACCGCGGAAGGCAGGAGCCGGCCGAGAGCCCGGGGCAGAGGGCAGAGTGCAGAGAGCGGCCTGGCGCGGCCGAGGGCGCCGCCCGGCCGGAACCGAGCTCGCGGCGCAGGACGCCGGCGCCTCGCGGGCGCGGTTCACGGGTGGCCGCGGTGCAGGGCGACTCCCGGCCGACGGCGGGGGGCGTGCCCCTTCCAGCCCGCCGCCCAGCGCCGCCCGCTCGCCGGTTCGCTCGTTGCCGGGGCATGTGAGCGGGAAGCCGGCTGCCAGCCGCGAGGACCGCACCAGGAGCAGCAGGAGCGCGGAGCCGCGAGCCCCGACCCAGCGCCCGGCGGAGTAGTAAGTGCGCCCCTCCAGCGCCCCTCTCCCCGGCCCTCCGAAGTTTGACACTCACTCCCCCAGGTTTCTGGGCACACGCCTGCCCTCTTCGGTCCGAGTTGCCATCCTATGCAAAGTTTTTCGAGGAGGAGCAGATCCTCACGACCCCTGCCAAGGCTGACCAGTGGCGGCTCGTCGCGGGCAGACCTGGATCCTTGTGGAGAGAGGCGGCAGCCCGTAAGGCCAGGGAGGCTGTGTGCGCGTGACGGTGTGCGCACCACGCGAGTCGCGCTTCGGCTGCCCCCACCCCGCCCCGGCTTCTCACGGGTCTGCCGGGCACTAGGTCCTGCTCACAAGCATGCGCCGGGTTTAAGGATTTCCCAACGGGAAGCCGAGACGTCGTGTGCGCACTCCGCGTGGGGCACGGGTGCCCGCGACAAGACGCAGGTGTGGGGTGTCGGGGGGGGTAGCCGTGCGCCCCTTCCCACGGTTCCAGGCTCTTTCGTCCCGCAGACCAGGCGGGCGCCGCCTCCTGTTTGTTTTCTACTCGCGCTGCTTCTCCTCCACCCCCACCCCCACCCAGCCTGCTGCTCAGCCTCCCCCGCCGCCCACCCTGCTGGGTCCGAGGGGAGCCTTTTCACCCTTGATTCTGTGCGGTAGCAGATTTCGCCTAGGGCTAGGGAGATGCACTGGGGGAGGTCGCTCTCGTCCCAGCGGCTCGCCATTGTTTTCCCACCCCGCGCGTTCCGTACGTAAACACACACACACACACACACACACACACACACACACACACACACACACACACACGTGTGTAAATGCGCGCGCGCAGGCGCCGCCACTGGCTAGCTGCCTGGGGTCTCCGGACGCCCTGGTATCGCCCTACTGCCGGGCCAGGCGTTTGGGCTGGAGGTGCTCCAGGGCTTAACAGAGATTGAAAGGGGGTGGGGGGGTTTGCCGAGCGGGACGAGTGAGCCCGGCCTGGGCGGGAAGTGAATTTTGAACTTAAGCCCAGGACCTTTTGGGAGACCCCGAGCGCTCCAGCGGCCGCTCCCGCCGTGGAGGGCTCGCGGCAGCTGCAAGGACTTCGAGGGCGCTCTCGGCGGCCGCCGCCTTGACAGGCAGGGGCTTGGAAGAAACCGAGCAGTTTTCCCGGGAAGTTTGCTTTAACTCTGTGGGAATTTCCGGGCAGGGCGTCTTGGCGTGGCGAAAGGGTCTGGCTAAAGACTGCTGGGGCCAAGGAAGGTGGTGCTGGTACTCCAGGTGAAGTTTCTAGGGCCCTGTTTTGAAGGTGCTTTTTTCCAGTGTCCCGCTAGATAACTGGGGTTCGGCAAGTCTGGGTCCATTTCCCTACCGAGGGGCATCGTGATTTCGAGCACGTTGTCAACTTACTAACTTTCTCCCTATGGAAACGCGCAGAGTGGCGCACTCATCTTGGCAGTTGGCATGTGACGACCATTTCAAGGATACTGGTTGGGAAGGTGTGAACTCCAGGAGGGTAGGGACACAGCCTACTGGGACCACTGAGAGCCAAGTATAGCGAAATTGTTGAGAGCCAGAGAGCCCGAGTGAGATGCAGGATTCTGCCACTTGTGGTATGACCTTGGGCAATTCACCCCAATCCCTATGTAAAATGTAAAATGGGCTTAAAAGGAACAGAGACTCAGAACAGGGCTTGGCACATAGTGAGTGCTGGATAAATGTTTACTGTAGGGGCTGGGGATGTAGTTCAGTGGTAGAGCACTTGTCTATCATGTATTAGGCCCTGGTTCACTAAGGGAGAAAGTTAGCTGTAATTGCCATTCCTCCTCCTCCTCCTCCTCCTGTTCTCTTATTTGGCTTCCGGGCTGGGGTTGGAACCCAGGGCCTGGTACATCCTAGGCAAAGGCTTTGCTGTTGACCTGCACCCTCAAACTATGCAATTATTATTTAAATGACCTTGTCCAGAGCCCAGGAAATTAAGCAGATTAACTGGATTGTGCCCACTGAATGGATTTTAGTAATGGTCAGCCTTTGGGGAGGGACAAACTTTGCACTCTTTTCCACCCTTTCTAGATTTTGGCTTCTCAAGTCAAACTTACCCTTTTTACTCCTCATCTAGTTCCATCTTCTTGAGTCTGTCTGTCTCTCTTTCTTTTTCATTCCTCTTTTCTTTTTTTCACAACTTTTGCAAAAGGCCTCTGAACTAGACCTCAGGAAAGAAGTGTCTCCACAAGGGTACCCCCTGGACACCCTCCACCCAAGCTGTGTGCTCAGGATTGGATGTGTATTTGTGTCTCTGAGGCTGGGTGAATTTCCAGAGAGCAGAGCCCAGGTGTCTGGGGTCCAGGGAAGGAGGCACCTGAGACTGGCCTGGTGCTCCCTGGGGGAGCTTTGCTCCCTGGGTGGTGTGTGTATGTTTCCTGCTGCTGGGGCTCACTTGGGAACCTGGAGTAGCCTGGCTGCCAAAGCAGGCTGGATCTAGGATTGAGATAAGTGAGAGGCTAAAGTGTCATTTCCAACTTTTCCACTAGTAGTTGGAGAAGTTTCTAGGAGTTTGGGTTAGACATGAGCAGTTTGTGCATCACACAGCACAAGTGAGGGCGGAGCAGGGTCATCAGATCTGCCTTTCCCCTCAAACCACCATCAGGCGTGGGGGAGCATGGCTGGAGGGTTGGTGCTTGATGTTGTGGATGCTGCAGCTAGGCAATGTTCAGTGACAAAAAGCAGCATTGAGGATGCTTCTGTTCAATCCTTTGCAGTGAACCTGTTAGGGGCGAGATCCAGTTCCAGGCATTGGGATGACAGCTGGGCAGGATGAGCAGCACACCTGCCTTCAGAGAAGCTGCTGCTTCTTACAGGGATGGTGGTGGTGTCCGAGGCAATACCGGTCTGCGATTCTTAGTGTGAAAGATTTCAGGTGTTCTACAGCGGTGATTGGATAGACTGTTTGAGAGGCAAGTTTTCCTGGATTGGGAACAGTGACGGCTGGCCTTGGCTGAGGACAGCTCAGCACAGGTGGGAAGATGAGAAGGGAGCCAGCTGCACGCAGATGAGAACAGAAATTCCTTCCAGGCTGCAGGAACCACAAGAATTGTGGCTGGAGCACTGGGCACCGGTTACTTGGTAGGAAGGATTAGAGGCATCAGGGCAGGGAAATGATGGGTGAAGGAGGAAAGGTGGTGCTTCTGCTGTAGGCCCTGTCCACTTTGCTGAATTTACAACTGTATGCATATGTAAGTTACAAAAAAAACACACAAAAATGTAGTTAACAGAGAACAGTTTATAATTTGGACAGTGTTTATAAAAAGAAGTGAAATCTGGGTGTAATCCTGTGTGTAATCCAGATTACAGTGAAATCTGTAATCCTGGCACTTGAGGCAGAGGCAGGGCATTGCTGTGAATTTGAGGCCAACCTAGGCTACCTCCTAAGTTCAAGGCTGCCTGAACTGCTTGTCTCAAATGAAAGAAAACACAGAATGTTAAAGTAGGTGGTGTAAGTACCAATTTTGTAAAGATAATTATATGTATGCACATGCCTAAAACATATGTAGAAGTCCAAAAGAATACATCCAAATGTTTACAGGGATTAACCTGGGATACTGGACATACGAATGATTTATAGTTCTAAAAATCCTATGTTGGATTTTCTAGTTTTCTACAATAGTCATGAATTACTTTTGTAAGTTAAAAAAACTTATCAAGAAAGTTCTCTTTAGCTGCAAAGTAGAAAATAGCTTGAATGGAGAGGAAGACACAGACTAGGGCTGGCCAGTGGCGACAGGTCTTGTGGACATTGCTGAGTGTGTTACACTCTTGCTTAGAGATGGCTCTCCACCCCGGCTTGGGGTTTGCGATGCCATCTGCCAGAACCAGTCCAGGCAAAGAGCCATTTCTAAGGTCAGGTTCCACCTGCAATCATATCTGTGTGGTTCTTCCTGGTGAGAGGCACCCCATCCTGGGCATTGTGTTACTTGGAAGATTAGCAAAGGCAGAGAAATATATCATGCAGTGACAAGGATTCAGAAACAGATGAGATGTTCATGGTGTAATTTCACTGAGCCTCTGTGAAATGGGACAGTAACGGAAGGAATGCTTGCCTCTTGGGAAGCTCGTGGCTGATTGTATCCCCAGTCACACTGAGGATGACCAGGGCTCTGAAGTGTGCTGCTGCCAGGCTAGTTAGTGTTGGCTTGAGCTGGGCCTGGCCTTCCAAGGGGATGTAGTATTCTTGCCCTTGACAGGCCAACACGCTGCCAATCTGCTAAGGTTTCCTCCTTGCTGAGAGTGCTCTGAGATGGTCCTTATTGGACAGATCCCCGGGAGAGTCTTCAGGAAGCTGACACCACCGGAAAAAGCGGATTCAAAGGCAGCTGTACTCGGCGTCCCCTCCCCCGCACATTCAGGGGTGAAGCTGAATGTTTGAAAAGGGCTCTGTGCTGGGAAGGCCGGCCGGCACACAGTAAATCGTGCTTTGAATGGGAGTTATTTTTGTGCTCAGTGTTTGCTTAAGAGGGCTTGCTCCTGCCTGAACTCGCTGCAGTCCTCACCCTTTGCTAGTCGGCTTCGTAGAACCCGGATGTTAGGCAGGGTGGCTGTCACAATGCCTGTCACCAGCTGGGGGACCAGAACCTATGGAGGATCGAGTTTACATCTCCCTGCCCCCAGGCCAGAAGGTGTGCTGTGTGCTTGCCCGGTGAACCCCCTTGCTGTGCCTTCCCGAGTACTTAGGACGACTTGGTTAGGAGATTCAGTACAGGCCAGCTGGGCATGGCCACTCTAACCTCTGCCTGCCCCTCTGACCAAGAGTTGCCTTGTTTCTTTTAAAAATGCAAATCCTGTGTCTCAGCAGAAGTTATGTCGTTTCTCCTGAGAGCTCTTATCTATCCCATGGCCCTGGGCAGAGAAGGCACAGAACACCCCAATCCAAAACCGTGGACTGATGAAGCCCTTCCAAGTCCTTCTAGAGAAAGGGTTCCACCTCTGCCCCCTTTGTCTGCAGCACAGAGCCTCAAAGCCACCTCTTGGTACTCTGGGCATATTCTTGGCTGGCCTTGTCCAGGACTTCCTACTTTAGGAAGACTCCTCTGCTGCATGACCTTAAGGTCTCCTACCCACTCCTAGAAAGAGCAGACCAGTATTGTCAGGGGGCATCTGCATGCCCAGAGATAAAGGGCAGTAGTGGTCAGACTTAGATGAGGTGAGGGAGAAGTGGCCAGATTTCCTAAGCCTCAGTCCGAGGTCTTCTCTAGTGAACCTTATATCCTGCTGGGTGTAGTCCTGATTGTGCCAAGTGGGCCTGGCATCCCCAAGTGCCAGGTGGGCACGCTGGCCAGGCTAGGAGAGGAGCTGAGATTTGTACCCAAATGTCAAAGATTCCAACCAGGGGTGTTTTGCAGGAGAGATGAATATGAGGAGAGGAAGGGAGAAGTAGGGACCCTATCCCCAACTGCTACTTTTTTGCATAACTAGTACTCAGTCCCCAGGCCCTTTTGGTCTCTGGCTGCGAAGGCCATCAGATCTGGAATTCAGTTCCTTGGGTATGAAGCTTTTGGACTCCTCCCCCTACTCTGCTCCATACTTCCCCAGTGATGGCCTTAGCATTTAAATGGCCTTGGCACAAAGCCCCGCTTGCTGTCCCTGAGATTTGGTTTGGAGGAGGGGTATTAGTGTTACCCCCTACATGGTTCGCTTGTCTTTTGGGGACAGATCCAAGTGTAAGGTTTCAGTGTTTTGGCTGAAGAGGAGGAGGAGTGGTGGGGGCCACTGCTGGGCAGCTCCTCTGATGCCCTTCCCCTGAGGGTTTGGCCAGTGATCTCAGACCCGGGCTCCCTGAGAGACACGCCCCAGGGAGACCAGACAGCTCTCCTCCCCTCGACCTAACCTCCCAGGTCCCCTCCCCTCCCCCAATGGAATGTGCAACCTGTAGAACTCCCCCAGGCTTTTCTGGCTGGGGCCTGCACCCTGGGGGTTCAGGTGTGATGAAGTGAAGGAGCCACAGGCCAGTGCCCTTCTGGGTCCAGGCTGGTAGGCGGTGAGTGAGAGGCCAAGGCTCCAGTAGGCAGAGTGGCTGCGTCCCTAGGACCAGCAGCTGCAGGGACCCAACAGAGGCCAGCGTCCCCTGTTGACTTTTTTTTTTTAAATTATGGGTCATATTTATTTTCTTATTTCCATAGTTTATGAAAGGGAAACATCAGTATGTTGTTAACTTTTGGGATCAGAGTGAAAGGATTTAAAATGTATTTATTTCCAAGTACCATCAGTGAAACTGGGACAGGCATGGGTATTTTTCCATAAAGACCACAGGAGTCCAACTAGGCTGCGGCTGTAGGGGCCAGAAAGAGGGTCCCTGGCAGGAAGGGCAAGAAGCCGCCAGTGACTGGACTGGTGCCTTTACCACGACAAGTGAGGGCAGACAGGGAGGACTTGAGCTGCCCTCCCACGGGCTCTGAAGGAGAGGGCCGAGCAGAGGGCACAGGGCTGTTGGTGCCAGACACCCACCCCAGAGGCTAGGGTTCTGAGCCCTTCCTAGGGGAAGGGTAGGTGTGGAAGAAGGGAAGTGGAGGCCTGCAGGGAGGGCCAGGAGGCTGCTGGGCAGGTGAGGCCTGCCAGGTTGGGTGTGGCGTGGGATGGGCACTGGGCATGTTGAAAGCCCCCACCTTCTCTCCCACTTGCGGGCTCCCTTTTTCTCGGGATAGTGTGTGTGTTTCGCATGCTCTGAGCACACCTAGTCACTCTCCTCTGGGCCCCAGGCGCACACAGCCTCGCTCCAGGCGGACCTGAGCAGTGTGAAGAGTGGAGGCCTCGGGGAGGCAGGTCCCCTCCTGGGTTCCTTTCTCTGTGTCACCCTCCAGAGCTCCTGTTCCCCAAGCAGACTGGGGATCTATCTACTCTTGGTCTACCTCCCTTTATCCTCTGTAGACTCAGTTTCCACAAAGGAACCTACACCCCCCACTACCCAAGAAGCAAATGATATTGGGGAGCCTGTCCTGAGTAGGGAGCTGAGGACAAAAAGCAGGTAGAGGATGCCAGTGCTACAGTAAAGTGGGGTTCCCTTGCTAGGGCTGGCGAGGCAGGAGGGGGGAGGTCTCAGTCTCCGCTAAGAATTTCCATAGCCAGTAAAATCTTAGGGAGCAAAGCCAGAAAAGGGGTCAGAGGACAGGATCCCGGGTTCTGTCCTGCCTTCCTGCGAGGCAGGTAGCAGGAGGGCTTTCTCTGAGGTGTTGGAGGGATGAACTTATCTGCTGTCTGCTGGAAAATTATAATGAGCATTCTAGTGAACGAGGCCTTTACAGTTGTGCAGGCCAGTCTATACACCCATACACGAAGGCCCTGTTGGACCTGGTTCAGAACAAGCATCAGGGACCTATTTTTTTCATAATGAAAGTTCCCCTTCTAAGATTTGCCTGCCCTTAGAACCCATATTCTTCGGTGTGGTGCCCCTGAATGAGAAGTGATCTTAGCTATTTGTGTCACCTTTTTTTGGCCGCTGATTGATGTAGAACTGCGGCATGAGGATTGAGAGGCTTGTGTTTGACAGCTTATTCAAGACGGGGTTTTGCTCTGTAGCCCAGACTGGCCTCAAACTCACAGCAGTGCTCCTGCCTGAGCCTCCTGAGTGCTGGCATTTCAGGTGTGTGCCACTGCACCCCATTTAGTAGTTTAGAGGGGGGTCTGTGGATGTGGATGGACAATCACCAGCCTCGTGTTAAGTCAGAGTTCTTTCTGGCTAATTGATCACAACTGTAAGTGACCACCTACTTCTTGGCTCCAGGGTGATTTGGTTTAGGATCCCACAGATGGGAAGCCTGAGATGGGCAAATGAAGAAGGGGTTCCTTCCTCAGCTCCCAGCAACCCCTCTCCACCCCCTGGTCCTGTGGCTATGTGTCCCTCACTTGGCTCACAGAGTCATCTTTGTGTCTTCCCTCCCATCATCAAAACTGCCCATCCCTTGTTTGACAGTGGGCCTTTGCTCTGTGGGCTCAGAGGAAATAACTGACTGATCAGATTCTTGGGCTGCTGGCAAACTTAACAGGTTGTCCAGGGAGCACACTGACCTCTTAAGTGGCCACTGGACCATATCAATCCAAAGGTGATTTTAAAGTGGAAACTCTGGGTGAAGCCTGCTCTGCTCACAACCATTGGGCACCCTGCCCCAGGAGCACCAGGCTACACACCCTATGCAGCTTTGAGAAGTGAGTATTGATCCCATACTGATTAACTCGAAAGAAAGGAGGCACAGGGAGCTTCAGAAGCACCCAGAAGGGACCCCCAGCTCCCTGTTAGACAGGAGGACAATAAGCCATGGGCAAATAAGGACAGATGGACAGGATTCTCCTCATCTTTTGGTCTCCACCTACATCTCTAAGGACAGGTCAGATGGCTCTGATTCTCACCAGAGACCCTGGTGGCTGCATCCAGGCCCGAGTGGAGGCCTAGGTTTTGCTGTGCTCTCATATACAAGGAGATTGGGAGCCAGGGGCCACCTGTGGTGTGGCACCTCAGGTTCCAGCAGGACTGGGGTGTGTCTCATGTATCTCTCCAGCTGCCCGGAGATTGGAACCCCAAACCTCTCCCCAGCAGCACAGTTGGGGTGCAGGACTACCTGGGCCAATTGCATATTAGCCAGGCTGGCATGAAATACCTTCTCTGCCTCTCTTCTCTGGCTGGCCCTCCTTCTGAAAACCAACAAGTGTGTCAACAGCCGGGTGATTGTGCTTGGCTGGTGGCCTCCAGGGCTGCCAGGACCAGGCAGGTGCTGGCAGGGCTGCCCGAACCCCACGCTGAGTGCAGGCCTGCCTGGCTGCCAGGACTGCAGGGTAAACAAGGCCGCACACAGAGGGGGGAGGGAGGCCAGAGCAGGCAGGAGGGAGAACAGGTGTCTCAGGAGCCCTGCAGACACAAAGGGCCTCTTGTCTCCTCCTCCTGGCCCAGGGAGCAGCCCGCTCTACCCTCCTCTCAGGCCCTGCCCAGAGGCCCAGGACAGGTCAGCCAGGGGTGCCGACTCACGGGCTCCTATCGCCACCTGCCTACTCTGAATATTGGCCTTGCTGTAGACCGAGTCAGACCAGTCAGGGTGTACCAGCTGCAGAAGCAGGACGCCTGCTGTGAGCGAGTCCACCAGTCCTCGGGCTCTTGGGGGAGGTGTATGTCTCACTTTCTTCAGCCCCGCCAGCTAGAGAAGAGATGGATGGGAGATGTGGTGAGTCCTGGAGCTCTGGGCAGGAGAAAGTGCTTGACTGTCACTAGTGATGGGAGCACAGGTGGGATGCAGGGAGACCTGTGGGTAGGTAGCCAGGGTTTGGCCACATCCTCCTCCCTCTTTACCTATTTATGAAACAGACCTCTACTGAGAGCCTTCCATGCATCAGGTACTGCACTGGGGCTGGGGCGGCAGTGGGGAATGAGACAATACCAGCAAAGACAGACAGCCCCAGACTCAGCCTGCTGGTGTGATTTTGGGTGAGGAGTTAACCTCTCTGAGCTCCAGTTTCCCCATCTGTAAAATGGTGCTGCTAGTAGGACTTGCCTTCTACTTAACAGTTGTGATGGTTGGGTCTATGAAGAGATGTAAGCACAATGCCAGACCTCTATTAAGGGCTGTAGAAAAGATGTTTATTAATACACCTACCTGTCCCTGGGAATTTGGGGCTCAAATCCATCCAGATTCTGAGAGGTAGACAAGGAAACTAATAATTGCAACTGTGTTAAGCACTAGATGCCCAAAGTCCCAAGGATTTCCTGTAGGAAGGCTAATCCTTCCAGGATTGTTACAAAGAACTTCGTAAAGGAAGGGGACATTTAAGATGGGTTTTGTGCAAGGTGCAGGAGTTTGCTGCTCAGGAATGTAGAAAGAGCCTTCCAGGCAGGAACACCAGGTGAGCCAGAGTTCAGCGGTGTGAATAAGCGTGTGGGTGACAGCAGCTAGAGGAGTGGCCTGGGCCGCCATGCATGGGATGGGGTTTGGGTGCATTCCCCGCTTGTCATCAGTTCTTCTGGTCCGGTGCAGTTTTGGTTTTCACTCAGTGTCTTCCTCCTGCCGGCGATATAGCCTAGCAGCATAAGCCCTGTCTGGCAGGTGCCAGGTCCTGAGTTCTATCTCTGGTACCAAAAAAAGAAAACTTTTTTTCCAGTAATCCAAGAGTAACCCCTCCTTGATCACTCTGGAATAGTCTTTAGTTTATAGGGAGGCAGGATGGTTCTGTGAATTTGAAGCTTCTAGATTTTGAATCTTTTTTAGTTTTTTTGTCTTTTTCTTTTTTATCGGTAACAGGGATCGAACTCTCGACTGCCTGCTTGCAAGGCAGGCGCTTATGCCGCTGAGCTAAATCCCCAGCCCCCTAGATTTTGAATCTTAATGCTGGGCTACTACCTGATTTCTCGGAGCTGAATTTGCCTCATCCACAGAGGGGTAATGGTATTTCACAATGGCAGCGTGCCCTGAAGATTGGAGGAAGCCAGGTGTGGTGGTGCACATGTGCAGCCCTGGCACTCTGGGAAGCCGAGGCAGGAGGATCACAATTTGAGCCTAGCCTCTGGGCAACTTGGCAACTTTATGAGACCCCATTTAAAACTAATAAAAAGAAAGAAAGATGATTGGGGATGTAGCTTAGTGTGAAGGCCCTGGATTTAATCTCTGGTACTGGAGGGGAAAAATAAATAGATTAGAGGAACAGGTCCGCCAGGTACAGTGTAGACTACTCCATGTGTGAGCTGGCCCTGGCACAGCCCACCGGGACTTCTATCTCTAACAGCAGCTGATGACCTGTGTCTCTCCTTGCATGGTTTCTAGAGATGCGGGGCCAGGCTGCCCTGGATAAATGGTCAGGCCAGGAGGCCCTAGACCCCTGGCCTTGTGCAGAGGGGCTGGTGCTCGCCTGCAGGGGCCCTTTCAGAGCTACTTGACTATTGGGGCAGCCATCTGTGTGACTGATTCCTGCAGCTGTCCAGGGGCTACTTCTAGTGCACTGGGCAGTAGAGCCCCATCCTCCCTCTCCCACCGGAGAAGTCCGTGGAAATCCTCTTGACTCCCAGCATGGCTGTACTGTGAGAGCCTGGTGAGACTGAGGCCCCAGTCTGGCCTCTGTTGCTCTTGTGTGGTGTGTATGCCCTCAAATCCATCCCTCAGCCTCCTGGAGCCTCACTTCGACTCCCACAAGATGTGAGGGACATGTTGACTCCTCCTGAGGTCAGAGGGGAATGCTGGAAGCAGAATAAGATGGTTATACCACCCTGGCGGTCTTTGCACTTTCACAGTCTCTGTTGTGAGGTCTGTTTTCACTTTAGGGAGGGGGAAATCATCCCACCAACTCTCCTTACAGGTGGGGAGGTTGCCATTCAGGTAGGTGGCATTGTCCAGGGAGTATAGGACTTTCTTCCTCCTTCTGGCTATGGAGGACTGAGGCTGGTCTGCTGGCGTATCTGACCTTTGTGTGGGAACCCATTCAGATTGTGCTCTGGAGTCCCCTGGCCTCCTGCCCTGGTGTCTCACCATTAGCTTTCAAAAACTGGTGCTGGGAAGGGCCGGGATCCCCAAGGGATGTCTGGATCTTCTGGGTCTTCAGACAGCACAGGGAGCCCGGCCCAAGGCCGGGTCTGGAAGGATGTTTGTCTGGCAGGGGCCACCCTTGTGGCCAGCTTGGCTGTGCTCTACTTTCTCTCCTCCCCTGCAGTTGTGCTTCTCAGGTGGCAGAGAGGTTCAGAGGCCCAGGAGAGGAGTTGGTGTGCAGGGTGTGCTGGGAGGGACACTGCAGGTACCCTGGAAACTGCGTAGGTAGGAGAGAGGGAGAGGTGGAAAGAGCAGTGGAGGCCACTTGGATTCCTCCAGGAAACGTGTCCATGTTTACATGCAATTTGCATCTAAGCAATGAGCTGGACATAATGTTAGGATCTACTCCCAGGCATGTTAGGATTTGTCATTTACCAGTCTTTTCCCGAGATAACTGCTTCTGGCTTTTTGCTTCTATTTGTGCCATTTTACTCCTACCCACTTACACCCTGTGACCTCTCTTAGGTGACTGGGAACTGAGTCAAATTCAGGTTGTCCCTGGCATTGACCAGATCTAATCTCCCTAGCGCTAGCAGAGGTCTGGACCAGACACAGCACTGATGCTCCTGTGTAGGAGCTCACAGCTTCTCTGCTCCCCACTGTGGTGGGGAGCCACCTCTTCACCTGTGTCAGGGATCAGGTGCCCTCAGGAGCTGGCACTCAGCAGGTGCTCAGGAAGAATGAGCATAAAGCCATTCAGATGGATCCTTGGAAGCCAAGGCATAAAGGGGAAGCCTGGGAGGGGGAGAAGTGAGCCGCGGGGTGCGGAGGGTGGGAGAAGTCCTTTCCTCCCAGTGGCTGGCCTGAGGAGGTATTTTTTTCTCTCCTGTGCCTTGCAGGAGCTAGTGCTGAGGATGAGCGAGATGGAAAGGAAGAGGCCTATTATTTTGTTTTTCAGATTGAGAGTCTGTTATTAGCAATTTATTGCATCCGGGTCTGCAGCCAAGCACATTCCGTTTTCTAGTGTCGGGGAAAGACACTTGGGGGAACAGGGCAAGAGGCTGGACCGGAAGGAGGCCTGGATCAACAGTTTTATGACTGATGATGTGGTGTCTTGGCTCTGCAAGGGGACAGTTTAACAGGACCAGTTTGAGCCAGCCTTGCATAGGGAGGCGCCTTCTGGGTGGCATCATACTCCCAAGGGTGAGCAGGCTCCAAACTCTCTTTCTCTCTCTTTTTCTCTGTCTCTCTCTGTCTCTCTCTCTCTCTCTCTCTCTCTCCCTTTCTCTCTCTTTTTTTCTCTGTCTCTGTCTCTCTCTTTCTGTCCGTTTTTCTCTCTCTCTGTCTCTCTCTCTTTCTTGCCTGGCCCTGAGCCTCAGATTTCTCCCTGTGAAACTGGATTGGAGCCATGGGGAAAGACTGCCCTGTAAGGAAAAGGAGAACACAGGTATACGAGAGACCTCAGAAGGGGAGCAGGCAAGATGGCAGTCTTATGGCAGGAACAGCGCATGAGTGAAACAGCCCCCTTCTTGTAATTTGCTGAGCTGGTGGAATATCGGTGGGTGGCTGTGAGATCTGGGGTGGTAGATAGAGCTCTGTGGGTGCCTGGGCTGTGTGTGCAGGTGGTTGTGTGGGAGTCCCGGAAGAGAATGGAGAAGGCAGGGCCCCGTGAGGCACCCCTTCCTCCAAGCTGGCCTCTGTCCCAATGTTTCCCAAGGCATATCTCTGGTCCCCACTCCTGGAGGCAAGTCTCCTTCCGCCATCCACCCTTCACGTAAGTTGGTCTCCATCTTCCCTTATTTTCCCCTCATTCTCCTTCCAGCTGTTGGCTTTGACTTCAAGTAGCCACCGCACCCTGTCTTCAGGGGCTGGCATCCCCCCCGGAGGCCAAAGTGCCAACCGTAGGGCACCAGGGACTGTGGTGTCTGGTACGCCGAGAAAGCACCGGCGCTCTGGGGAGAGCGAACCACTCAGATAGTTTCATGCAGCCCAGCCACATTGCCAAGCTTGGTGCTACCTAGACGTTGCTGAAAGTCGGGGTCTCCATGGGCAGAGAGGTCTGCTGGACCCTTGGAAGCTCAGGGCTGAGAACAGTGTGCTGCGAAGTCGGGGTGTAGGCATTAGCCAGTGGGCCGGAGCCTGGTTTCCAGCTGTGAGTCTGGACTATTATCTCACTGTCTCCCGCGTACAGCTGGTGGCCGCTTTGCCCTGAGGCTGGTCACTCATACTCTTTTCTCTGGATTGACTGCCTATCCTTGGCTACCTCAAGGCTCTTGCCAAGGGTTCATGGGGTTAGGGATGGGGTGGACTCAGAGATTGGATGCAATTAAATGTGTGCGGAGCACAGACCTGGGCCTCGGGTGGTGACCTCTGTCCTGCTAGCATGGGCACTGGTAGAACAGCCTTGGGCCCAGTGCAGAGGGAGTAAGCATGACTGAGCTCCCAGGCCAGGGGCTGAGGAGGGTGCCCTGCTGGGGTGGGAGAGGACGGAGTCCACTTGGACTGCAGTTAGGTGGAGACCACAGGCCCGCGGGGACCTTGTTGACAATGGGGCGTTCAGAATGGGTAGCTCATTCATTCCAGTCGCAGTGCCTCTCAGTCGGTGAAAAATATCCAACAATACCCTGTTCTCTTCCTCTCCATTCAGAAGCAATTTTGCTACCTTCAAATGGTGCTGAACTGCCTGCCAACGGCCAGCTTAGAGGGCTCCAGGC